TCTATGGGTGTGATGCGGTCTTTGTTTTAGGTCCATCAGTATTTCAAAGTTCGCCAACTCCTGGTTCAACGACCCGCTGAAGAAGGAACACTCACGGGATAATCCTATCGTTCCACTCCCGCTTGAACTTGAACTTGAAGGAGTATTCAGCGTATGCAGGGAGTAGGAAGCCGTAAGTCGACCGGAGACTCCACGGAGACTGCGTCGTGACAAGATATTGCGAGTATATTAGGACTTCGGAATCCTTTTGAAGCACAGAAGAGCTGCCAAAAGTCAAAGCTTTTGTGCAGTGTTATTCGAATAGTTTCCAAACAAGGTATTCGTCGAAGAAGGGCTCGAACGATAATACATGTAGTGGTTATTAATATTTCACCTTTTGTCTTTCTTGTCATCAATTGTATCATGACACCGTTTGTACAGTTTGTTTGAATTAAGGATTACAATACACTTCTTGGCGCCCCGCGTTCCCTCGTGCCGATTTTTGGCTGTGCTGTTTCTTTGTGCGTACGGTGCCGTTCAGTCTGCTTGCGAATCGGATAGTATCCTCGGAATTACTATCGAACGTCTATTTCCATTGTGCTCAACCTGTGCCACAGGTATAGCGCGACCTACGACTCGAACTCAACTGTGCTTAGACTGTGAGTTGACCCTCTCCAACTTTTTGCCCGTTTACTAAGGGGCTGAAACCTTCGTAGCATTTTTCGACCACTACAAACCCGACAGGCAGGCGGTGACCAAATAATCCGGTAATTTAGCACTTCCAAGTCCTTTTGGATCATAATAAAAATGACAAGAGCCAAGTTTTCTGCGCAGTGTTTTTCAGCTACTGTTCTCAAACCAGGTTTTCATTGAAGAAAGTCGCAAATTGTGGAACACGACAAACGCGCCATGACCTTGAACGGAGGCAAAATTACCCGTAAGCGCCAAAGACGCTTTTGCCGTACTACTTTAATCGATCCAAGATATCTTGGATCAGAGAAAATTTGACAGTAGTCAAATTCCGTTTCAAGCGTTTATTCAAACACTGCTTTCCACGTTATTTCAGTTAAAATCCTCGATCAGTATGGCACGCCAAAAACTCGAGCTACCGCGTAGTACTCACAGGGCAGTATATAGTTTGTAAGTACCAATCGCTTTCCACTAGAGGTTAGCTGTGTAAAACGTAACCATGTGGAATAAACCTTTACCAGAAACGTTATAAATCGTTAGATAATGTACCGTATGAGGTTAAACATGCCCTCATCTCTAGCCATATATATATATGGTTGGCGGCATCCGGTTTCGGATTTGCCTGTCACTGTGGCAAGCCACAGGACGCCTGCGCCTACAGAGGGACCATGGATGGCTTGCGCTGCACCACCCACAGCTCCAACCACATACCCCATATCCAGTGTAAACCCGAAGGAATAAGACCGGGAGGCATGCGGATGGGAACCACGTTTCATCAACGGAGCCGGCCCACACTCCTTCACAGGCAAACACAAGCACGCTGTATTTGGGGAATCAACCGCACACAAGGCGGTGGCTGGACCGTAGTCCGCTCCACACTGAGTGCATGGAACCACTCTTCGAGCCTAGCACGGCCACAAGAACCGTGCACCCCGTCCCCTCCAGCAACGACCAACGGTCTCCTGGAGCCAGTATGGACGAGGTAGTGGGTAATAGACAGGTAGGGACCTTGTCAACATACACATTAAGCGCAGCCACACCGGGGTTATCAAACAACAGCCAATCATTTAAGACAGAGTGAGACAAAGAAAATAACTCGATTAATGCATAAGGAAACGGTGACATAAACCTTAATTAAATAGCATATGTAATACGTTGTTTACAAACTAATCCTAGATAAGTTCACGAGGTCAGAAAGTATACCTTACGGAATACATCGAACACAAAAATGCTATGGAAATTGACTATAATTGGCTTAAGCGAAGTGTGCAAGTTAACGGAATAGAGTACAGGTAGACATTCACACGAGAAAGCGAAGCATTTTGGCAAAATTAAAAGTAACCCAACACCTGAAATAAAGAGACTTAGCATGCAAGCACGCGGTTGGTAAAGCGAATGCAACGTGCCTACAAACGCTGCGCCGGTGCTGTCTGCCTTCTCTGCAGGACCCATCGTCGCTTCTGTAGTGGTCCCGAGTGGCCTCGCTCATGGCTCCCTAGGAATGGGTGACATATCTTAAAGTAATGAGCAACTGAAGTAACATGTTTACAGAAGAATGCGAGATAAGTTCCCCAGGTCAGAAGGCAAAATTTACGGAAATGCCATAAACCCAAAAATGTTTTCGGAAAGGACTAGAATTGGCTTAAGTGACGTGTGCAAGTTTATAGAAGAAAGTAGGGTAGACATTTATATGAGAAAGCAAAGCATTGGGACAAAATTGAAAACCCATCACCTGAAATAAACAGACTAGGCACGCAAGCAAACCGTGACATAAACCTCAACTTATTGAGCATAAGAAATAAGTTGTTTACAAAAGAATATGCTTACAAAACTATACGAGGTAAGTTCACGAGTTTAGGAGGTTAAATTTAAGGAATGCTACAAAATCGAAAATGTTATCGAAATAACTACAGGTGGCTTAAGCGACGTGTGCAGGTGTATAGAAGAGAGTATAACTAGGCATTTATACGGGAAGGAAAAGCATTAGGGCAAAATTGAAATAACCCACAACCTGAAATAAAGAGACTTAGCATGCAAGCACGCGGTTAGTAAATCGAATGCAGCGTGCCTACAAACGCTGCGCCGGTGCTGCCTACGTTCTCTGCACAACCCGTCGGCGCTTCGGTAGTGGTCCCGAGTGGCCTCGCTCAAGGCTCACTAGGCCTGCCTAACTCAGGCGCTCGCGACCGCATGTGCTACAGTACCATGCGCTCGATGTCGATAGAGTACAACCCATCGGTGTTCGCCGCTTCCGCACTTGCCGTTTCTTCTCTGCATGCATGAGGGCTTTCTCCTGCACTTCAGCAACTGCCTTCGTGATCAAATGGCGCCATGCACGCCGATCAGCCGCCTTCGATTCCCATGATCTGCAATCAAGCTTAGAACCTGTGAGGCTCACTTTAATCATGTCCTGGTAACGTAACTTTGGTTTCCCCACGTGCCGCTTCCCTATACTCAGCTGACCGTATAAAAGTTGTTTCGGTATTCGCGTCGAATCCATACGGCTCACATGACCGAGCCATCTCAGGTGTCGCAGTAAAAGTATGCCATACACTGCATACATCCCACTTCGGCGCAAAACTTCCGTGTCTGCAACTCTAGCGCCCCAGCCGATCCGCGAAATCCCTCGCAGACACTGCTGATGGAACCGCTCGAGATATCGCACATCTCGCCAGTACATCGTCCACGTTTCACTGCCGTATAGAAGAACGGACAGTACCATGGATTTGTACACCATCAGCTTCGTGCCAATGCTAAGCTGATGGTTGTTCCACACTCGGTACTCAAGATTCTGGAATGCCGCTGCCGCCTTCGACACGCGAATACGCAACTCAACGTGTAGCTGCTGGTCAGTCGATATCACACTCCCAAGGTAGCAAAAGCGGGAGGTGGTTTCCAATAATTCAGCACCAATGCTGATTTGCGGCAATATTGAAGATTGCACCTCCGGTGAAGGCTGAAAGAGACAGACAGTTTTGCTTGTGTTGATGGTGAGCCCGAATTTGGCCGCTGTCGAAGCCAGAGCACTAGTCATGTGCTGCGATTCATCCGCGCTGTGTGAAAACAACGCACAGTCGTCAGCAAACAGCAACATACGGATAGTTGTCTCACAGACTAGCGTTCTCGCACCGAACCGACGGATGTTCAGCAACCCACCATCAATACGGTGCTCCACACGAACACCGTAAGCACAAGCGACATCAAAAGCACAAGACAACGTTGCATGAAGATATATATTAAACAGGGCAGGAGCTAAGACACAGCCTTGCTTCACACCAGACAGGACTGCAAAGCCGTCCGATGTCTCTTTACTTAGCTGCACCCTCGCTCGCATACCACTGTGCAGACATTCAATTAAACTTACAAACTTACGCAGGCAACCAAACTTACCCAACACCAGCCACCATGCCTCGCGGTTCACCGTATCAAATGCCTTGGTGAAATCAACGAAAACCGAGTACAATGGCTGGTGTCGTTCTCTGCACTTCTCTTGCAACTGACGACCTGCAAACACCATTTCTATAGTGTGCGACCCGAACGGAATCCACACTGCTCCTCCGCCACGTTAAGTTCTACAACTTGACTGACGAGGCAGATGAGCAGGATTCGGGCAATCACCGTGCCCACGCAGCTCAGCAAGTTGATGACACTATAATTAAATAAATAAATAAATAAATAGTATATTCTCTGTAAATTCGTGCAACACTGCTTGCTACCTTTGCCCATGTACAGTGGTAGCACAAGGGCATCCGTCAATTCAGGAGGCACCTCCTCCTCAATCCACACGCGTTGCACCAAGTAGTGCAGTGCAGTCAACAACGCGGGTCCGCCG